AGACAACTAACTGCTATTCAATCTATAACAGTGAAAAAGTTTTGTTTTTTTTTAAATGCAAGCTATTGTGACACCAGTGAGTGAGTGGTGGCACTGGGCACAGTATCCACTGTGAGCCTGACACACCGCTTTAAGGACACTGACTGCTATTCAATCTATAACAGTGAAAAAAGTTTTTTGTTTTTAAATCCAAGCTATTGTGTCACCAGATCTAAGTGGTGGGACTGGTCACCGTATCCACTGTTAGCGTAACACACCTGCTTGAAGATAACTAACTGCTATTCAATCTATAACAGTGAAAAAAGTGTTGTTGTTTTTTAAATCCAAGCTTTGTGTCACCAGATCTAAGTGGTGGCACTGGTCACCGTATCCACTGTTAGCGTAACACACCCGCTTTAAGATAACTGCTATTCAATCTATAACAGTGAAAAAGTGCTTCTTTTTAAATCCGCTTTATTGTGACAATTGCATAAGTGGTGGCACTGGTCACCGTGATCCACTGTTAGCGTAACACACCTGCTTGGAAGATAACTGCTATTCAATCTATAACAGTGAAAAAGTGTTTTTGTTTTTTAAATCCAAGCTATTGTGACACCAGATATGTAAGTGGTGGCACTGGTCACCGTATCCACTGTTAGCGAATACACCCGCTTTTAAGGACACTGACTGCTATTCAATCTATAACAGTGAAAAGTGGGTTTTTTTAAAACTAAGCCATTGTGACATCTCAGATATAAGTGGTGGCACTGGTCACCGTGATCCACTGTTAGCGCACACACCCGCTTTAAGGACACTGACTGCTATTCAATCTATAACAGTGAAAAAGTTTTTTGTTTTTAAATCCAAGCTATTGTGTCACCAGATCTAAGTAGTGGCACTGGTCACCGTATCCACTGTTAGCGTAACACACCCGCTTTAAGGACACTGACTGCTATTCAATCTATAACAGTGAAAAAAGTGGGGGGGTTTTAAATCCAAGCTATTGTGACACCAGATCTAAGTGGTGGCACTGGTCACCGTATCCACTGTTAGCGTAACACACCCGCTTTAAGGACACTGACTGCTATCCAATCTATAACATTGAAAAAAGTGTTGTTTTTTTTTAAATCCAAGCTATTGTGACACCAGATCTAAGTGGTGGCACTGGTCACCGTATCCACTGTTAGCGTAACACACCTGCTTGAAGATAACTAACTGCTATTCAATCTATAACAGTGGAAAAAAGTGTTTTTGTTTTAAATCAAGCTATTGTGACACCAGATCTAGTGGTGGCACTTGTCAGGCGTATCCACTGTTAGTAACACACCAGCTTTAAGGACGCGGCTGCTATTCAATCTATAACAGTAAAAAGTTTTTGTTTTAAATCCAAGCTATTGTGACACCAGATCTAGTGTTAGCTTGTCAGCGGTAATATCCACTGTTAGCGTATTTACCCGCTTTAAGGACGCGACTTTGCTATTCAATCTATAACGGTAAAAAAGTTTTTTGTTTTAAAATCCAAGCTATTGTGACACCAGATGCTGATTGGTGGCGCAGCTGAAAATAGGCACAGTATGCTGTGAGCCTGACACAGAAGCTGGCAGCAGTGACAGACAACTTGACTGCTATTCAATCTATAACAGTGAAAAGTTTTTGCTTTTAAATCCAAGCTATTGTGACACCAGATGTAAGTGGTGGCACTGACTGTGGAAATGGGCACAGTATGCACTGTGAGCCTGACACAGAAGCTGGCAGCAGTGGCAGACAACTAAGTGCAATTACATTACATAGAAAAAATAAATAAATAAAAAAGCATACCCTTATCCCTAACCTAGCTATGCTTTTCCCTATCTTATGAACAGCAGCTACACTTTCCCTCCTCTTACTAAGCATGCAGCTTGAGAATGAATCTAAAATGGATGCTGTCCAGTAGGTGGGAGGGTCTGCTAGGGAGGCTGTGCTGCTAATTGGCTGGAATGTGTCTGCTGACTGTGAGGTACAGGGTCAAAGTTTACTCAATGATGACGAATAGGGGGCGGGTCGAACCGCGCATATGTTCGCCCGCCGGTACATCACTACTCAACACAAAACACACACATGTACAACAAATCTTCTATTTGTATCATGTATTTAATGTCACCATATATGTATGTATATATAGTTACATAGGCTGAAAAGAGACATGCGTCCATCAAGTTCAGCCTTTCTCATATTTGGTTTTTAGCTGTTGATACAAAAAAGGCAAAAATCACAGTCTGAAGTGCTTCCAGTTGTGCGACAAACTAGGGAAAAAATCCTTCTTGACCCCAGAATGGCAGTCAAATATTTCCTTGTATCAAGAAGCTATTACTCCACTAAATTAAAATGTATAGCCCTGCACATTATGTTTTTGCAAGTATTTATCCAATTGTTGTTTAAACATCTGTATAGACTCTGATAAAACCACCTCTTCAAGCATAGAATTTCACAACCTTATTGTTCTTACTTTAAAAAAACCTTTTCCTTTGCCTTGGTCTAAATCTCCTTTCTTCCAGTCTAAACGCGTGACCTCATGTCCTATGTATATTCCTATTTATGAATAGCTTTCCAGACAATAGTTCGTATATGTTCGTATAATGCTCTCATATCTCCTTTGAGATGTATATTTGTTAACCTCTCTTCATAAGTAAAATGTTCTATTCCTTTTATCAATTTTGTAGTCCGCCTCTGTATTGTACCTATGATTCTGTCAACAAAAAGTCTGACATTTCGATTTACTTTTAAAGGCATGTTGGTTAGCGCATTTTGGATGCATACTTGCGCTATCCATAATGAGGACAAATTATTGCAACAATAAAGCAGTTGGCTTAAGATTCACTTGTACTGACAGCTGGAAAGTTGTTTCCCTGGCTTAATTTATTTTACTTTAGAAATCCGAAAGAAAAGTGAAACAAGGAAAAGTGACAGGAAACTATCGATTATTCTTATACATTTTGTAATAGCTTAACTCAGAAATTCCCTAATATTATTAGAAGGGGGTTAATATTATATTTATATTTTAATATTAGGGTTAGTTGATGACTAGATGCTTGGTATTCTATAGCTACTGTGGATGTAAACTTTTCTGGACCAGGAGAATGGTCATCCCTTGTCCTATTTGTTCTGGTAAGGTTTTTTTTATTAAGTCTGGAGAGAATAGATATCATCTGACTCTACAACTCTGGAGGCAGTGGTGTATCCTGGTTTTGTGCTGCCCTAGGCAGGACAAAACTCAGGCGCCCCCCTCCCCCCCGCGCCACCCCCACCCAACCCTTCCCCCCGCCACACCTTCTAAATACACACACACACAGTCAGACACATACACAAACACACACACACACACACACAGACACATACACAAACACACACACACAGTCAGACACATACACAAACACACACAGTCAGACACACACACAGACACAGTCAGACACACACACACACACACATACACAGTCAGACACAAACACACACACAGTCAGACACACACACACGGTCAGACACAAACGCACACACACACAGTCAGACACACACAGTCGAAACACACACACAGACACACACAGTCACATACACGCACAGTCGAACAGCACACACACACACACACATACACAGTCAGACACAAACACACACACACACACACACGGTCAGACACAAACACATACACACACACAGTCAGACACAAACACACACACACAGTCAGACACAAACACAGACACAAACACAAACACACACACACACAGTCAGACACAAACACACACACACATTAACATTTTTTTTAATTTAAATCCCCCCCCAACCTAACCTTTGGGAGTGCTGGGGGGGGATCTCTCTCCCTGGTGGTCCAGTGGCTGCAGGGCGGGCGGCGCTGGCAGGGCGGGCGGCCGGCGAGGGAGCACTTCCCATGAGCTGACTGCTCAGCTCCCTCGCGCGTCGGCTGCAGAGTGAGGCTGGGAACCGGAAGATGACGTCATCTTCCGGCTCCCAGCCTCACTTTGCGGTGCGCGAGAGAGCTGAGCAGTCAGCTCATGGGAAGTGCTCCCTCGCCGGCCGCCCGGGATGTCAGTTAGCCGCGAGGCTAACAAGGCATCTGCCCTGGGCATGCCGCCCCCTGAAAAATGCCGCCCAAGGCAAATGCCTTGTTTGCCTCGCGGCTAATACGTCCCTGTCTGGAGGACTGGGTATCCCCTAGTTCTGTTAGTATTCATCTAGGGGACTTGGTGACCCCTTAATCCTTATGCAACTCTTTGAGCTACAACCCCTTCCTAGTTTATCTGTTTGCTCCACCTTTTAATCTAGGGTTGATAAAAAAAGGTGTTTATGCTGTTGTCCCATAAGCACCATCATTTTTTTTTTTCAAATGTATTAATTCAATTGGGAGTGATTGGTTGTTTGTCCACAAAATTAATTTTTAATAGACTTTAGACTGAGCCACTGAACAACAAAAACAGCCAATAGATGGGATGTTTCGTGATTCAGGCTCCACTAATTGCCAACACTAGGCAGTCACCACATTAATAAAGCTAATTTAAAAAAAATGATGGGGTCAATTTGACTCTATATTTCTTAGCTTTAGCTCTACCCAACATATTGGAAACAAAAGGGGGGGTCATCCTAGTGTCCCCCACAGCAGTAGAGTAGGGCCGGGACTAATAAAGCCTAAATGAATATTGCAGACGTAGGTGTTTAGTAACTTTATCTTACTTAGGCATGGGAGTAGCTTTATAAGGCTAGTTCGGTATTTATTATTATTTGGAGTCACAATTTATTTCTGTGTTGATACTTTCTGTTACTGTTACTGCAGATATTTAGTGGTCTCTCTCTGGTCCATACCACTGGATGCTTTGGTGCCTACAGCTTTATCTCCAGTCAGCATTATATTCAGTTTGCAAATTTGGGATCAGTGTGGAGGTGGTGTTTATTCCCTTTTACACCTATTTTCACAAGGATCCCATTTCTTTCTATTTTTTCTGTCTCCCCTATTCTCATTAATACTTCCTACCTGAAGCTCTTAGTTCGTGGGATGGTGATTAGCATGTCCACTTCCCCTTTACTGTAAAGGAGATGGACAATAGCATCCACCCCTTTATTAATATCAACATAGGCCACACCTGTCACACATGGGTGAGGGCTGGAGGATGTCCCCCACATGTAATTATAGCCCCAACACTGCCCATCCAATGGTAGTTACGCTGCTGCTGGGGGTTCCCAAGCCACTATCCACACCCATCCATGAACAAAAATGATCTATCTTCCTCACTCTAATACTAGTTTGGGGGGGCCATAAACTAATTGTTTGTTAAGAAAGAGTTATACTTACCATCAGATGTCTTCTGTTTTCTTAAAGCTTCTTTTTTCAGACCCAAACAACACAAAAAAAACTATTAAAGTACTTTTGCAACTATTATAATAAAAAAAATAGACATCTTGAAAAAAAAACCTCAGTTCTTAAAAATAGATCCACCTTTACCCATTGATGGCTCCGTGCAGACTGAGCTTGGACCGTGGGAAAAGCCTTATATAGCCTTTCCTATGCTATGCATTATCAATCAGAGAACTATGTTTGGTTGGCTTACAAGCCAACAAATCACAGTGCTCGGACTGAAGTTGCATTGTGGGATGTTGTGGCAAAACCAACCTCGCCACTGGGCATTGGAGAAGCCTGTGTGCCTGCCCCTGCCTGCTGACTATGGCCCCTGGTAGATTTGGCCCTTTAGATACAGTATTTGGGCATATTGTATTTTGTTATGCTGCTGCTGGCCCTTTAAGAACCATCTGGGGACACACATTTTTTCAGCCTGAAATAAACCGACCGCACAGCCCAAATCTAAGGGACCTCCAGCTAACTTTTTAACCCCTGTATGGAATTGGATGAATTTTGGATATGTTTATAATTAAAGTGTGCTGAGCTCGAATATGTAATTTTTATGTTTGTGGCATGTTGAAGTTATTTCTCTGCCTGTGATAATTATATTAACCAGTGTGTTCAGTAATCATATCACAGGCAGAGGGGAGGATTTTGTGTGGGAGTGTCTGTGTGTATTGTACGGATTGATTGGTTGTATTTCAAAACCCTGTGGGCAGTACTATGTTTGTAGATTGTGAATAAAAGAGGCTGTATGTGCCAGCACAGTCAGTTCTGCTTGATGCTCAAAACAAAGTGTCGTCTCGTTACTGGGGGAATCTGCTACAAGGGATTACTATGCTATCATACTCCCTTGCTATATCACTACTAAGCTCTTGTAAGAGCTTGTTCCTGTCTTGCTCTCTGGGGGAGTCTACAGTGGTTATGGTGTCGGCTGGAGTGCTTGGAGCCCTCAGGAAGCACTAGGAGCATCCTTCAATGGAGGTACCCAGTCGGGGTGCCCGTCGATCTGTTACAGATGTCTTTCCTGAACTAAGTGTGTAGAGTTAATTTAACTCGTTAAGTGGAGGAAGTGACTGGCAGTTTCTCAGGAATATTTACTAAAGTGCGTATTCAAGGTGAATTCAAGGTGAATTTTAAATTTACAGTTAGAGTAGCCAAACTGAAAGCATAACTTACTTAAAGAATGTTTCAAGTTTTGCTGTTTTTATCTTAAATTTGAAATTCACTTTTTGCAATTGGATGAATGCCGAATTAACAAATGCACAGATGATTTTTCTTCTGTGTTCACGTCGTTGCTCAGACATTTTGTCCATATTGCAATTAATTTGTGTTTTGCACAGATGAATGAATTGCATGAAATTCAGACAAATTTGCATTAATCTGAAAACGAATGCCCAAGTCTTGAAAGTGCTGGCAGGTCACCACATGATAACCCTCGGGTCACCGGAACAGTTTCCATAAACATAATTTGACCAAACTGAACAAAAATAAGCATCGGGCATCCTGAACAAAATTTAAATTTCAGAAAAATTTGTTCAGTTGAACCAAAAACATGGAGCTGAGCACAGTTTTTAATTGATGCTGTGAAAGTAAATATTAGAGGTTTTTTTTATAACTTCTGAATATTCATTTTATGAGAGATGCCTTTTTTTCCAGCAACTATTAATTTAATCCCTTATTTCATAATAGCTTAATTCTATTTACATTATACTATGTCAGAATACTAATGTTTCCTTTAGTTAACTTTTTTTAAAAATTAAATTAGTTAACTGAGCTGAATAAAAACGTGATTGTTAACAAATAAAGAAACAGATTTCTATTTGGTCTGATTGCTGATACCAATCATGGATTATGGTGATGTAGTATATTCACCTGTACCGCAATCCCACATTAATAAACTCAATACATTGTATAACTCGTTCTGCCGATTTGCGCTACAATGTGATTACAGGATCCACCATTGTGATATGCTAAAAGAACTAAACTGGCTGTCGCTGGAATCCAGACGCACCCTTCATCTTTCCAGCCTTGTGTTTAAGAGCTTTTCTTGAGCAGAATGCTCTCCCTGGCTGTTCCCAACTCCTATAACCTTCGATCCAGTACCAGCACTTTATTTAGTCTACCTCCATACAAAAAGAAAGCGTCCCAATCCTCTTTTTCCTACAGAGCACCGCAATTATGGAACGACCTCCCGCGCACACTTTAAAATCTTCCCAAAGCCTAAAGTCTTTAAGAGATCCCTCTCTACATACCTCAAAAAAGAATGCATGAGTTATGGTTGATTATATATTTCCTACCTGTTCTATGTTAAATTTTGTATATATTGTGTATTAATATTTTTTGTTTTTTATTGTACCCTAATGTATAAATGCAATGTTTTGTGGACGCAGGACATACTTAAAAATGAGAGAAATCTCAATGTATCTTTCCTGGTAAAATATTTTATAAATAAATAAACACATAAATAAATAAATTAGCTGTGCCAAAAAACAATATTAGATAGCATATTATAATAAAATTGAAATGGTTTCAGTATTCAACAAAAATACCATTTTCCAGATTGGTCGTCATTTTCTGTTTTGGAGAACTAATAAAATGCCGCCCAGAGACATAAATATATCACATTTATGCATGGCTGACAGACTCTAGGCGCAAAAGAATACATATTTTATGTGCTTTAATTTTGTCATCTGCGAACTAGATGTTCTAAGTCTGTGTGTGACTTTGTCTGAAACTTCATAAATGTTCAAATGTTTATCATTTTCAAATCTTTGTTCAAGCTCAGTTTTCCATCATCTAGTTTCATTAAGATTGTAGCTTCAAAACCTAGGTTATTTTTTGCTTTATATATTATTTTTTGTACTTTCATTTCCTAGTTCCTACAACATGCCAATCTTTTCTTTATTGATGTTTGATTTTTAAACCAGCAGCCTTGAACCTCTGTTTTTTGATAATAAATATTTAATGTTAGCTAAATATGTTCACAATGTAGTTAATAAATGCTTATTTTTACTGCAACAATATTTTTCAATATAACGATGTTGTATATTTATTTTAAATTTTCAGTCAAATGTTTTCCTTGCTAATGGCATTAAAATAAAATAGACATGTCAAATTAATTAAAGCAAGTAATAGTTCTATCATTTCTTGGCCACCAAATTGATCACCATGTATGCAAATGCTTCAAGCATTTATTTACTAGAAAGCATTATATGGCAAATTAATTACATTATACATAATTTCCAGTTCAAGATAAGTTAGGGGATCTTTGCCTTCTAACAATTAGTAATTAAAAGCAATTACATTCTGTGTTATTTTCCCAGGAAAATCATAAAATAGAAAAGTCAACAGAACTCAAGGGCAAATAGCAATTAGTTTTATTATGTTGTATTGAAATTGATGTGTTTTTTTTTTTTTTTGTTGAATAGAAAATTATGTCTGAGTGATTGTTTATATTCAACAAGGAGAATTGTGATAGCAAAGCAAATGTATTATTGCAAAA